GCCTCGTTGATCCCTCAAAGTCTGCATCCAATTCTACTATTGGATCAGAGACTGGTGAAGGAGTATGGTAACCCCAACTGGTACCAGGAAGGCTATTTAGAGTCTTCCTAATAAGAGCTAGCCATTTCTTGGCCGGTCCATTGTCTTCTGTGCCCAAAACATTTCCAGCATTCAAGGGCACAATTTCTTGAAACCTGAAACCAACGAGATCACATAGATCAGCTAGTATCACAGCAAAGTTGCTTGCCTTAATCAAATGGGACAAAAAAGAATTGGTTATTTGACAAACCCAAGAACATAAATATCAGCAGGAGGTGAAGTATGAAGCCAATCCTCAAGGTTCAAATGACTTGGAGGAGATTTTCCAGCTACATTCCAAGTTGCTACAAATATCCTGCACTCACATATTAATTGAAACACAATAAAAAACAACTCTTAGCAAGAATCAAATAAAGGCAACGCCATGATTAAGAATTGGCCTTACCTATAATTGTTCACATCTGTAACTTGTGCAGCATCAAGGTCAATTTTGCCTCGCTGCACTCCACCAGAGTGCCCCCTGTATGATATCTCTGCGGATCAAAGTAAGGAGGGTTTTATAGGAATTTTTGAAAATCAAAGGGGTAAGATATGTGAAAAGGAACAGCATCCTAATAATTATCACTGTGCCTTTTATCAATACTTTGGAAGTTAAAAGAGGGCTGTGGTCCAGACCAATACTGGGAGGTGTCTGATACTGAACCTGTTTTGCTTTTCTTGATGGTGCATGCTTCTCTCTCTGAGAAGTTGTGCCTCCACTCTTCACCGCCACCTGAAAAAGAAATGCAATAAAGATGTTAAAGCTGTGCTCTTTCCACTGCCAAATGCATCAATCAAACATATTCAAACAGCACAAAAAACAAATACTATATTCCTTGTTATGAAGAAAAACAAAAACAAAAATGAAATGAAATTCAGGAGAGGAAAGGAACAGATTGGCAGATCTTGAACTGCAGATGGAAGAAGCAGGACCCCATTAACCCAAAAACATTTTTGTTGTAAAAAAACAAATAGTGATGCAGAAGTAGAAATAATGCAAAGTACTCAGAGTCTAGAAGAATCCAAATCCAAATCCAACTCAGTGGACTGGTTTCTTGGATATAAATGGCCAAGATTCCCCAAATCCAATCCAATAGGAGGATAGAAGACCAATAATCACCTCCGTAAAGGACATCATCTGCTTGAAATTCCTCAGCTTTGCTCTTGATATTAAACCACTTCTTGACCAGTGTCTTAGGCCATGAAAGCTTCACCAACAACAAACACACACATATAGTTGGCAATTAGAGAGAGCAGAAATGCATCGTAAAATCCAAAGATCTTTTTATTGGCATTTTCACAAACCTTGCTCTTCTTCGAGTTCTCATCTCTCATTGTTTCACAAATTCATATAGCTCTTCAGATTATATTGCAATACTGGCAAGATATAAGTCCCTCTTTGTTAAACTATGGCTTGATGTTCTGGGTTTGCTTAGAATAGAATATGAATGTTGAAAGAAACGAAATCTCAGGAATTTCAAAGAATCCTGAAACAAGATTTCATTTTCCTCGAACAATCCAAGAACAAGTTGATGCTCTTGTTTTTCACATAAAGGGAGAAGTTCAGTGGTAAGGAAAAGGAGAAGAAGGGAAAGAAGAGAGGGTAGTGCTCTGTTTCTCTGGTTAAGGAAGAGAAAACGAGAGAGTCAACAAAGAAAGTCGCAGCTCCTCTGCATTTTATAGACAGAGAGTGAATAATAACCCAGTTTACCAGCTTGAGCGTTTGTTTTTTCGTACACTTCCTCTTCTATGTCAGGTCCCAGACAAAAAAAATTAAGGAAAGGAAAGAGAAGCAATTAAAACAGACACCAACAAAGAAACAGGGAAAGAGAGAAGTGATGCGTGGAAGTAAGACTATGAGATTCTGATAGTAGAACAAGACAATGTAGAGAGTAGGGAGAGAGAGAGTGCGTGTGTATTTCTCTCCAATGCAACAAAAAAAGCCTCGTTCCTTCTGGGTAGACAGGCAAAGCACCGAACTTGAAGAGAGAATAAAGTGCGAGATGTTTTAGAGAGTTAAGACTCAAGATCCCTCCGCCCTCTCTCGAGCCTTTTTAAGTTTCTTTTAACTGACCCCAAAAACACTCCAGGTTCAGGGCCAGCCAATTAAGCTTTTAGTTTTGGGACGTGAAGACAGGAGCCTATTAGAATCAGTCACCTACTCACATTACTAGCACCCAAGAAAACTGCTCCTTCTGTTTTTGCGCATTACTGTCTACGCCTTTGGTCAGTAAAATTAGGTTTGATTTATTCCAGCATGTACGTAAGTTAGTACCGATTCCTCCATTTGGTCATCTCATTAAAAAAGAGTAGTTACAGGAAGAAACAAAGATTAACAGACTGCATGCATTGATGGTTTGTTTTGAGTTTAATGTGTTCCTTTTCTCCTTGTCTTTTTTGTAAATTTTCTTTCAAATCTATTTTTTCAGGCCTATTTGGTTATCCTTTTTAGAGATGGGGGTATATTTCCCTTTTTGGTGGTGGGTTCTAGGGGATTTTTCTATTGGTTTGGGCTGTTCCTCCAATGTGGATTTTTGGGCTTTGTATAGGCATGTAGGTTTTTGGTATAGGGGCAATTGCCTTTGGTTACAAGATACAGGGGAATTTTTGTGTGAAGAAGTGCTTGCTTCTTCAAATTCTTGCGTTTGGGAGATTTTTATGCATAGGGTTTAGCTTTAGAAGCAGTGTATCTCCTCAAAAAAACCTTCTTTGTTGCTTTTTAGCAGTCCATGTGCTGGTCTCTCATGGTAATTTTGAGGCCCTTTTTGACTCAATCTAGGCTTGTGTCCAAGAGAAACAAGGCAGTTGTGCCAATTTGAGCCTTCTTTATTTCTTCTAGTTTTATGTCTTCTAAAGTATAAACTCGTTTACATGCATGGGTTAAAGCAAAGTTTTGTGCTTTGGGAGCCCCCTAATGGGATAATAAGGTATATTTGCTTACATAGATGTAGGATCTTCTTGGTGAATTAAGGGTCCCCTCATCCCCAGTTCAACTTGCTCTACACTTGCCCACGCGATCTCCTAGGGTTAAGTGCAGCAATATTTGTTAAGCTAGCTTAGTACCTTGCCAATTTCTTGGTTTAAGCTCTCCAGCCTTGATTTTCTGAATTGACGACTAAGCTTAATCCACATGCTACATGTAGGAGACTGTGCCTGGGCCTGCGTCCCCTTTAGCTTAGTTTTAAGTTTTTTTTTCATTATTTCAAGGCTCTTAGCAATCAAGTAACGTGCGTGTTCGAGGATATTAAACTAATAGTAAATAATGGAGTTGACGGCAGATGAGTCCGATATCAGTATCCTTGATTATGTAGTAATGCCTCATTAGTTAAAAAACAGGCATGTCACGTGCTATGTCGTGGATTCTTCTTCTTCTTTTTAAATAATGTCCAGATGCTATAGATACGCTTTTAAAAAAATAAGAAAAATTAACTACTCAAATTATATCACCTACTAGTTAATTTTATTTTAATTAAATAATAAAATAACATGCAACAACAGTAAACATTTATTTTTAAAAAAATCATAATATCTTAAAAAAAATTAAGAGAGTATAGAATTACATAAAAAATAAACAAAAAAAACCTGAGTTAACTCGAAATAATACAATGGACATGTAACCTACATAAGCGAAGCCAACTAGAGTTAGTCAACAAAACTTATAGTCTAAATTATGAAATTGAGATAACTTATAAAAAAACTTGAAGAAAATCACAAATGCATTTAAAAAAAAACTAATATTAAATAATAAAATAAGTAAAAAAATATATTGACATGTATTAACTTTTCAAACTCATAATCTGGGCCAATAAATCGAAAGCATGATACATGGAAAATGGTAAAGTATAATCCTCAACAAATTAAACACTGAAAAATAAAACAAGGAAAAAAAATGTTAACTACACAAAAGGATCTAAAATAAAATATGGTAATTAAAATAAAAATAAAAAATAGATTAAAAGGTAACTAAAAATTTTTGATTGGAGGGTTTAATTGTAAGAAAAATAAATCCAACATAAAGAAAAAAAATAAAATAATGACTAACAAATTAAAAAACATAATACGCCATAAACTTGATTTGAATGGTGAAATTGAAAATCAATAAACTTTTATAAAAGGATTAAGGGGAAAAAAATCAAAAGAATAAGAATTATGTTGAAAAAACTAATATATGAAAAAATAGAATTGAAGGATTAAATTGAAAATAAATAAAAAATTTATAAAAAAAAGATCAAGAAAAAAACTAAAAGAAAAGGGACAAGAATTTTTTATTGGATGGTTATATTGAAAAGAAAAATAATTTTAAGAAAAAAATAAAAGAATATAGACTAAGTTTAAAAAAATAACAAACCATGAACTTGGATTGAAGGTGAAATCGAAAACCAATAAAATATTTATAAAATGGCTAAGGAGAAAAATAAAAAATCACAAGGTAATGACAAACTTAAAAAAATAATATATTACAAATTAAAATTAAGGAATTAAATTGAAAAGAAATAAAACCTTTATAGTAGGATTAAGGACAAAAATTAAAAAAATAGAACCAAAGTATAAATATAAAAAACAAAAAGCACCAATATGTAATTTTTAAGGGAGGAGAGAGAGAAAGGGAGAGAGACCCACTAATATCAAATCATCAAACCACCACCAATACACGCTATATTAGAAGGAAAAATGTAACATTGCATCCAACGATATGATGGAAGATCAGGTTCAACCACATGGAAGCACCGTATGTTCTAATCAAAAAGCACAGACACTTCTCACGTGCTAATGTATGCAAAGCATATACTTACAATTTTTTAAATTTTAATATTGGTTAAAAAATCATAATGCTCTCAAGAAAAAAAATAACAAAAAAAAATAAAATACTTGATTGAAGGCTTTTTTTTCTGACTTTATGGGCATATAAGTAATCTAATTATATATCAAAAAATAAAAAATCAAAACTACTTGTAAACATCGGGATTATATATATATTCTTTGTCTCAAAGGTATTTCAATATTTTTATTGTTCATAAAAATAAAAAAATATCATATCACCTCCATCAATCAGGCTAAACGTTATTTGATCATATCATCTCCATTTATTATTGCATTTGAATTTTTTAATTTTATTTCTAGTTATCGTTAACAATTTTTTATTAATTCATGTAGTTGTCTATTTATTTGATTACATGTACGAATGAGTTTTTTAATTTACACTTTAAAATTTTTTATGTATAAAAATACATCAAAAAAGTACACATGTATACTTTTTTAGTAAAAGATAAAAATATATGGCCCACAGATATTTATTTCACAAATATTTTGCAACAAACGCAGATGATGCATCATTTTATTTATTTCACAAATATTTTGCAACAAAAAAAAGGTCAATCAAGTGGACCTGAAGGTCCATGTGTGGGGCTTGATAAAACAGATCAAGCGGGCTAATCTGGCTTGCTAGGTCTATCAACTTCTGGCATTTGCTTCTTTTTTTATGTTTTTTTAAATTAATGTTTTTTTATGTGTTTTTTAAATAATTTTTATTTATATTTAGATTAATATCCCTTCTTTTTTAAAAAAAGTTGTTTAGAGAGCCTCTTTGAAATGATAATTATTTTTTTATTTTTTAAGAGGTTTTTTTGATTTATTTATAATTTTTTTAATCTTTTATATAGATGAATTTTATTTTTAAAAATAAAAAAATATTTTTAAAAATATTTCTAACATGTGTAGTTTTGTATATTATTTTCTCTTTTTTTATTTAATCAATTATTGTTTGATTGAATAAAAATCTTATTTTAATTAAAAAATTTAGTAAATACAACCATTTAATTATTCCATCTTGTGAAAATAAATATCTGTATCTATACCTGTATCTCGATTTTTTTAATTTTATTTTTAATTATTGTTTATGATTTTTTTCTTTTATTAATACATATAATTCTTAATTTATTTAATTATGTATATGTATAAATTCTTTGATTTATGTTTACATTTTTTTAAAATATAAAAATATAAGAAAAAAAATTTATGTATAAAATTCTTTATTAAAAAAATTATGTAACTCAAGGTAAATTAATTAGGAATAAAGTTTATACTGTGTGTCTGTGTGTCTGTACGTGCGTGTGTGTAGACACACACTTGGTGTCTTTCAACAAAGATATGATTGAATTCATGATTCCCCCAATCTTTCTTTCATTACTTGTACCGTATCCCCTGGCAAATGGCCACCTGGGATGTAGAACATCGGCCGTCAGATTATGACACAAATGGATCTAGCCCATGACACCGAGAATTGATAATCTCTCTCCATCTTTACGCATATTTTCCTCTCCACATGTCAAGAATTAGGTCTTGCTTGTGCTTCTCCATTAATGAACTTATGTTCCACCATCTGTAACTTTTGGAGCTCCATTACTCTTCCAAACTACGATTGCAAGAAGATGACCTTACTGTTTTTATTTTCTAGAAGCAATTTATTTGTTTGTTCTTTGAGAAAATAATATTAAGAGCAATTTATTTACTTCATTGGAAAGTCACTGCCTCGTGTTTTACAGGGGAGGATCACTACTAAATACGAAGGACATACCAGTTGATAGAGTATTTTTATTTCCTTTTACCAGATGTACTATCCAATACAACAACAAAAGACATATCTCAAAACTGCCCTGCCCTAACGAAAAACAGCAATAGATAGGCTAACGAGGCAGTCAAAGGATGATTCTTGACTTGTAATGATTCTTGATTTGTACTTTGGGCAAAATATCTCCTCTTGGAAGGAATTTGATTTTCCTTTCTGTTTCTTTTTGCCTTTTCAGCTTTAAAAATACCCCATCTAAACCCGTCTTCCTTCCTCTTCTACAGATTTCATCATAAATAATCTGAAGGATTGTGTCAATTGGGGCCTTTTCCTTCTTTCTTGTTTTGTCTTCTTTGGAATAGGAATAAGATGGGCCTTCTGTCCTTAGTCATTTTCATTACTACCTGCAAAAAGGGAGGTGTATTTCCAAACCACAGTTTCGATGGTTCCCTGAACATGTATAATGTTGTTGATAACTCATTGTCCTTCAATTCTAAAACATGTATTCTGTGCTTTTTTTTTATTTATTAATGTAGATGTATATTTTAATTAATTTTATAATTTTTAAAATTAATAATTATATAAATTTTCAGTAATTATAAAAAGATTCGAACTCATAATTATTAAAAAACAAACTCAAAATTTGACTAGTTGAATTACTTCTCAAGATTATGTATTTGATTTATGCTATATACGTATGTCATAGAATAACTATAAGGTCTCAGAAATTGATGTTGATTGTCCACCAACAATTTATTTTTAATACCAGTTTGGCAGTGGTAGAATTAAAAAATTTTAAACGAGGGAATAAATTATAAATACTTGATATCATATATCATATAAATATTTGTTATATATAGAGAGAGAAATTAATTTGAAATGCATATACTAACTCATGTCAAATAAAATTAATTTAAAAATATTTTTAAAATGAAAAAACTTATATTATAATTATTTTTTTCGAGTTTTTATGTTTTGAAATTGCTTAATAATGACTTCATTATTAATTTCATTAAAGATATTCTTTCTTAATATATACAATGAAACTTTCATTGATCTATTTCTAAATCTTCTAAAGACTACTGAATTATTGGCAACAATTCTTTATAGATTTGTTGTTTTATATGAGTGAGTTAAATATAAATATTAATATATTTTTTTTATTATATCCTTAATTTTTTAATTATTTAGTACTTCATTTTTAATTACTAGTACGTTTATCACCATCATTTTTCATATGAAATTCATAACAAAATACATATTAACTCATTAAAACTTATTTCAATTCATATTTATATGCATATAATATTATACATACACATGTTAATTTAATAAATTTATAAATTATCATATTATTGAGGAATAAAATTAAAATTAAACAATGAAATAAATAGAAAAAATAAAGAAAACTCATATAAAATATTAAGTATAAAGCATAAAAGGTTATTTACTTAACTAATTAATAGTTTAGAACTTAAAAAAAATTATAAAAAAAAGGTAAGAACAATAATTCAAAAAAAAAACTTGTTAAATTATTATATTAAAATTTTAATATAAAAATACTTAAAAAAAAAATTAAAAGGACAATTGCCTCTTTAATCCTTATTATGACTCTGCCATTGTAACTTGATGAATAGGTTCGGGATTTATTATTCAAAAACTCATAGAAAAAATAAAAATTTAATTAATTCATTCAAAATCTCAGATTGAGCCGATTAAAAACCCAACCATCACCTTGTCAACTTTTTAAAAAAAGATTTTTTATTTAAATAATATTATTTTAAATAAAAAAAATTCAAATCAACCCTCCCACCCTTCGAACTTCAACTTGCTAAGTTTTAAAACCATGCTTTTAAGTCCTTGTTTTTATTTATTGAAAGATTTGACGGGCCTTGAATCATGCAATGGAGTAGGCTTCCTGTCCCTCTTAAAATTTGGATTCAAGACTTGCTAGTAGAAACTCCAGATGTGAACAGATAAACATGCCCTTGTTTGTTGATTGTAGCAAGGATCAGATCAAAGAGATTTTTGTGCCGTTTGCTTTACCCTTCTCTGCACAATTGTATGCTAACCTATGGGCCTTTACGAGGGCCACAAGCAGTGTCAGCCCATAGAAAGAAGAAGAAGAAGAAGAAGAAGAATTGCAGTAATTGTCCTTTAACCACTACTAGCTCCTACCTTTTTCTCAATACTATACTCAGCACCAACCAGGCTACCACTAACGACATCTCCATTACAGAGCTCTCCAGCTATAGTTGTCCAAATGGGAGATGAAGAACCGTTTTCGTTAGGTTCCAAACTAACGAACAAAATTAGAGTCAATAATGGACCTAGTTCCAGTTGAAGATTGATGTTCTTCTTGTACGCCAAAAGGAAAATGAAAGGGATGGACTTCTACTTGCTGATGTGAAGGTTTTTACCTTTGGTAGAAACTGAAGAGGTGGGCTATATTTTCTCCTCATATTTCCTTGGCATTAGCAGCTCTCTCGTCGTTGTCCTGCCTTTCTTGTTTTCCTAACTATTCATGTTCGCCATCAAATCACGAAGTCTATCTATATTTCATCAGTTATCCTCCTAATAATAGTTTCCAACCAGACAGTTATTGGCTTTTCATTGGCTACGCACCCTCCTTCCATCTGTCATGCTCTGGTTAGTAAGTCAATATCCCACCATGTTTATAGCTCTAAAACCCAACACGCACTCGTCATACCCTCACACTTACTGAGAGAATGGTAAATGAATTCAAGCAAATACCTTGCTACTACACGGATCAACAGCGTTACACTCGACCAGACTGGTCTGGTAAGTTTATCCATAAAAAAATAAAATTCAAAACGTGTTCTAGGTTGGATTTTTAATTGAATTAAATAAGATATTGATATGGTGATATCGGATTATGCCTAGAGCTAAATCTAAAGTCACAGTAAATGTCAAATCTGCGCAACAAGTCCAATTCCATGCAAGATTAATACTGTGTCAAAGACAGCTCCTAAGAGCATAAAGATGATTCATTTGTTAACTTACACTGATTGATTGGCCAAGGAGCAATGATCGCAAAAACCCTGAAATAATCGGTGAAGAAGAGCAGTTCCAATTCAAGTGAACCAGGGGTTCCCTCATTGAAAATTGGGTGACCAATCTTGTGTTCAATTGCTAGCTATAATTAAATGCACTAACCTATGGATACTTTCACAACAAAAGATAAGTGGGCTATCTATACGATTGCGGCTTGGTTCACATGGAACAACAAATTCTTACAATCGACATCATCTAGACAACTACCAATTTGTCATGACTTGTTTTTGTAGTTCTCTGCCTCTTAAATGTCTGGCAGATGGATCCATATTGTTAGGTTAAACATCAGCTTCCGCTTCCAAACTCTCCATAAATAGTGGCATGTTATGCCTTCACTGTCGAACATTAGAACCATTATTCTCCTTGGCATTAGCAAATAGCAACCTCGCTTCATACCAAACCAGAAAAAGAAAGAAAAAGAAAAAAAGCGGTTGCATTCGTCCAGTAATAGTCTAGAATTCCTGTCATATTGTGAGCTCAAGGAATTCTTGTGGGATTTGCAGCTTTGCTAGCGGGAGCTGAGCAAGGATTTTGGAACGTAACAGGTGCATGCGTCTTTGGAACGAAGCTACGAAGAAGAGGAGGAACAGGAACTCAGATGTTCTTGGTGTGGCCTGTTCAGTGAGGCAGACGAAAAATTGGAGGGCCATTGTACGGTTTGGTCCACGATGAGATATGGGCCTGAATATGTTGCAACTGACAAGTGATAACCTTAGGCCTAGCACCCATCATCAGCACTGCATGTGCTCTCATTGGATGAGCTTTCCGTGGTGCTGGTGTATTTTTTTTATTTAAAAATATATAAAAATAATATTTTTAATATTACATAAATCTAAAAACATTAAAAAAATTAATTTCAAACAAAAAAATTCAAAAAATCACAAAACAAGGTTTCAAGAGCAAAAACAAACAAACAACCCCTACAAATGAGGCCCCGGCAACATGACGTGGGTACTGCAGCATAAGAAAACTAATCCAATCATTGTTGAAACTCTTACCCAGAATTTTCTCATTTCTACCAATAAAACATGAAGGAATTATGTGGATTTCTCTGAGGATGAGGTGCATCTGAAACAATGGGTTCAATTTCCTATCGATCGTTCCAATTTCCAAAGGTGCCTGTAGAAGTGAATAATGCGTGAGGCTTTCTTGGCGTGGTTGTTGGTGATCTCCATTTATGGTTTCCCGAAGGGCCACCATCACTGACCCTTACCGTCACATAAGTTCACGTGGCACATGGGACAAACGGGAAATATGGAATAAGCATGAAGGAAACAGTAACGATTTAAGCAACACATGGAGGGAACAAGGACCACGGTTCTCGACGTCTCAATTCTCACGGTACGAAAACCGAAAGACAAACACACGCAAAGGCATACGGGCTAAGCTAGATGCAAAGACTGCGACCTTTTTAATGACACTGAAATTAACGATGATACCTCAAAGGGTAATCATGGCCATAGATAACTAGTCAAGCAAATGGTTTGGCTGACACTGTAATCAGAGATTACGCGGGAACAGCAAGCCAAACTCAATTTTGATGTTCATATTAAACAAAATGTGTGCTGTGGCAATAGTTGTGAGGAGATGTCAGGAAACACCTCGTAAGATTTGAACAAATAGGAGGTAGGACAGTAGCACTGCAGAATGCCCCATAACTTCTACTTAAAGCAAAGGTTGTGTGATTCGAATCACAAACCCTCTGAGCAACCTGGTACATGATATGATATGTCGCGTTTGTCGCGTCAATGACCAGCTCAAGTTCAAAGTTTCCACCAATCACCAGCTCCAACAAAAAAAAAAAAAATTCACACGCAGCGATATCATTTGATTTGGATGCCTCAATTCTTCTAACAGTAAACTGTCATGAAAACGAAACTACTGAACCCCTGGCCATGCATGAAAACTTGTTTCATGCATAACAACTTGTAGTAAATCATTACATATGCATAAGAATACAGCAGCAACATAAATTGTCATAATTTTGATCACTTTAACGGACACCTCTTTCTCTTTACCTCATATGGAACAAATAGAGGAAAAAGTTTATCCAATCATGGTGCGCTTCCGACCCCTTTGTCGAACTGTAATAATTTATAAACAATAACAAAATAAGAAGCGTACAAGTAAGAGAAGAAAAAAAATAGTAGTGGAGAAGTTGATCAATTAGGAGAGCAGGATTGCACCTTGAGCAAGCTTGTTCAACGTAGATGACCACTGCTTTGAGGACTTTCTGTACCCGGCGAGAATGCGGTCCATCTGGTACAAGAATGTAGATCATGAGCAAAGTTCTATTTTGCAGGTTTCTATTCAGTTCCATGTTAACTTCGTACAGTAAAAGATAAAACTATAAGAAAGCACTTTAAGAACCACTGTTTCGGCTGTTGCTTTAACAAATTCAATATGACAATTTTGTAGAAACCTGGCTCATTTCTGCATTTCTATTCCTGAACTAACTAAAAAGGTCAAACTCTAGCAAATTCTCAATAGTTTTACTGTTCCACGGCAAATTCTCAATTGGTAAAATTCTCTATGTATTTAAAACTCCTTTTCCTCTCATCTGTCAGCAATCCAAAATAGCATACATGAAATTAGGATATGAATAAAAAATTAGTCTTGGCTCACCACATTCCCACATGAAGAATGCATTGAAAGTAAGGCTCGTTCCAGTACATATAAATCAACAGCTTTGTCCTCAGGGAGGGTTGATGTGAAGCTAAGGCCGAAATCAATAAGGACCTGAGAGAAGATAGCTCTGGTTGTGATGCAGAGATATGGTAGCAATCAAGTAAACAAACAGAGAAAACAAGGATTTCTTCGCCTCAACTATAACATTTAAAATAACTCACCAATTTATTGGTACCAATCCGAATTAGCATATTTGATGTGGTCAAGTCACCGTGAATAAGACCACCGTCATGTAGTTTTCCAATTGAATCGCCAATCTGCATTGCGATGTCATCCAATCGCTCTTCCACAATACCATGTAACCCGAATTCAAGGAAGACATCTTTCACAGAAGGACCCTCCACATACTCAAATGTTAGAGAATGCAGAAGTGGGTCCACAGCATACAACACAGGAGTAGACACCCCTAGTCGTCTTGCCTTTGTCATGCATCTAGCTTCCTGCTCCAAAGTTCACGGAAAACATTCAACACTTGCTTCAGCAATATGTAAAGAAAACCACTGAAAAAAAAAATACAAACTTGTGACTCACCGCATTTAAACGCTTGAGAGTAAGTTTAGAATCCAGAGTCGGATGCCTGTACTTCTTCGAGAAACGTTCCTTTATAATAGACCTCCTTCCAACAAAATTTGACTCAAAAACCCTCTGAAAGAGAACAACCCCAAACAAACAAACAAACAAAAGCAATAATAGCGTGGGATATGCAAAAATTCAAACAAGAACAGGACATTCTCGATAAAATTTGTGACTGAATGTGCTGTGCTGGTGTGTGGGTGCAGTCATAATAAAAGGAAACGCAAAATCATGTCTTCTCAGGACATAACAATGTTACAAGAGAACTCACCGCTTCAGCTCCTTGCTTGATCAAAATGAGGGAGCTATCTTTAACCTCTTCAGCGCCTATCTCCATGGTGTTCTGTACCAACAGAATTTACCCACCCCCCACCCATATGTATAAAAATTAGCAACAAAGAATCATAACACACCAAAATACTATTTTCGAGGTGTGAGTCTTTAAATTTATTTATTTTCCTATTCCAGCGTTGCAAATATCATGAGTGAGTGAACCTAACTTAAGGTCAAAGCAAAAGCCCGAAAGTTTCAAAAGGAAAAGCAACCACATCACTTATAAGAGACGAAATGGTAAAGTTGAATTCCTTGCCCGAACTCTAGGAGGTTATAGAAAAGAAGAGGAGACTGGTAGGTACCTTTGTACTGTTTAATAAAGTGAAAGATCAGCCGCCGCCGCCGAGCCGAGGTAGCAGAGAGACAGGCACTGCTTACTGCTTCACCCTCTCGCTTCAACCTTTTCTTTCTCTCCGATTTTTTGGGGTCAACTCGAGTCTCTCGCTCAACACGATGCCGTTTCTTGCATGAAAGAAAGGAAAATAGATGGGGGATACCTAAAACCATATCACACGACGTCGTTTTAATAGCCACATGTCATTGTAAAACCCTAATTTTAGATCCCAAACCTGCCTTTTAGTTCCAGAAATGGTGATTAATTTTGCAAAATTGGATTTAATTAACCAGATAATTAATTTGCCAACGTTGAAAACCAGAAACTCTTATTTTTCTTTTTTCAGTCGACAAATACAGAATCACAAAGCACGCCGCTAATTGCATTGCTAATTGGTAATTTGCAATTAAACGGCGCCACCAGCAACCACATTATAACAATCACGTGCCAGCCTAATACAATCCAACCAATGAAAAGCCTCCACGTTAGGATCCCTCTCGACCACAACATCAGACACCGTAACCTGCACCGCACCTCTGTATCCTGCAATCCTGCCACGAACTCTGGCCACGAGTCCGATTTCAATCTCCGATGCAAAATGAGCAGCCATGTCAGCAATTAATTTAACATTAGCAGGATTACGGCGTGAAAAGTAAGGAGAGGTGAGCTGGTTGAGCCAGAGAACGCAGGTGACGCAGCCAGTGCCGGCGTCAATTGTGAATTTGAGAAATTTGTTTGGTTTTAGCTCGCGGGAGGTGACGACGCCAAGGATCTCGGTGCGGGAGATGGTAGTGTTTTTGCGAGTGAAGGTGATCGGGTCGTAGGTGGAGAACGAGGGAGTTTGGGCTAGAGAAAGGAGATCGAAGGCTAAGAGCTTTACGTGTGTGTTTTGCAGTCTCTGATCCATCAGATAAAAGAGGTGAAAAAAATTAAAAAGAGAGAGGAATTAGTAGATATCTATCAAATTCATCGCATGGTTTTCTTTAAAGAGAAGGGTGATTTTGTTAATATATTCTGAGTGGAGGGTGTTTTTGTTACTGACAAAACGAAGTCGTGTCGGCAGCAAAAACTAAAATCGAGTGTCGGTCGGTGTCCTCCTCTACAAGATAGTTAGAAAGAATAAAGTAAAAAACCCTAACCCCCTTTTGAGTGGTCAAAAGGGATTGCGATTTGCTACAATGAAGAGGCTAACGCCGTGGAGCGATGAGGAGGATGATTCCTCGTCGTCTTCGGGTTCAGATTCAGAGGGCGCAGCAGCTGACAAGAAATCATCTAGACAAAAGAAATCTAGAGGTAATATTTCTTGAGCAGACCTATTATATTACTTTCTTTAAGAAATATATAATTTCCTGATAGTCAAATAAAAGCATAATAACGTTAATTAATGTATGATGATTGAATGGAAGGAAGAAAGATGGATGTGTAACGAATGAATTCTGGTCGGTACTGAGGAAAAACCTAGAAAGTTCAGGTTGTTAAAGAGACAGACATACTAAGAAGAATCTTAATGGGCTGTTTTTGCTCCCTCTGATGCTAGTTTTTGCTCCCATAACCATTTTGTTAATCATTTTGGTATCCTGTGTTCATTTCTTCTATTCTTGAGATTTGTTTTTGGTTACTATAGAAAGTTTTGAGATTACCCATATGAACAGGCAAGTCTGGAAAGCTCAAGAGTGGTGGTGCTGTGGACTTTGAAGCGTTGAGACAACATGGGTATAAAGGGGGGTTGTCAGTCCTGAGTGTGCCAGCACCAAAAGATGACACGAAACCTGACTGGACTTGGTCTACTGGCAAAGAGCGGCGCGAAACCACGGCTGGTGGGGG